TGATGATATCGATGTCAATGATAATGATAATAATAATGCTAATAATAATCATAATAATGATAACAATATTGATTCTTAAAAAAATAATGAAAATGTTAATAATAATAATAATGATATTGATGATAATCATAAAGATAATTATGATAAAATATATATAATAATACGATATATAAGATAATAAAATAATAATAATAATAATAATAATAATAATAATAATAATAATAATAATAATAATAATATTGAAATAATAAAAAAATAGAACAGATGATAATAACAAGAATAAAAAAACATCAACAAATTAATAATAATGCTAATATTGATAATAGTAATAATGGTAATACTAATGATAATAAGAATAACAATAATAATGATAATAATAATATTGACAAGAATGACAATAATAATGATAATGATAATGATAATGAGAATAACAATAATACTTTTGATGATGATAATTATTAAAATATTTCTGATAATGATAACAATAATGATAATAATGAAGATAATAATAATAATGATAGTGATAAAAGTATGATAATAATGATAATGTGGGTGACAGTGACGATAATAATAATAAGAAGAGAAATAGTAATAATGAAATACGAATGATGATAATATGACGATATGTAGAAGACGAAAAAGAAAATAATGATAATGATGATTTTAATGTTGATAGAATCAATCTGAAAATTATATCAAAATATATGATAATGATAACAATGCTAATGATAATAACGATAAGAACAATAATAGTAAAAATTGTGAGAATGATATTGATAATGATAATGATGAAACTTATTAATTTCAGAATGATATTGAATGACAATCATACAAATGATGATGAGGATAATAATGATTATATATTATGATATAATGATAATAATGATTGATGAATGCTATTTAATAATAATAAAATGATAATAATGATAATAATAATAATAATAATAATAATAATAATAATAATAATAATACAGTAATGATAATTATTATTATCATTATTATTATCATTACTGATATTATTATTATGATTACTGCAGTAATTATAATTACAGTAATAATCATAAAAATAATAGAAGCAATGATAATGGCAATAGTAATAATGATAATGATAATTATAGCAATATGATAAGAAAAAAAGCAAAAATAATGGTAAGGATAAAAAGGAAATAATCAAAGTCATAAGAATATCCAGTAGCATAAATTATAATATTCATAAAAAGGTGAAAATTAAAATATTTCAGAATAAGGATAACAATAATGATAATGATGATCAAGGTATCTATACATTACACATTCTTTGATGATGAGGACGATGACAACGATAATAATAATAATGATAATAGTTATGATAATAATAATGAGAACAACAACAACAACAGCAATAACAATTGCAACAATAACAAAAAAAATAAAACAATAATGTTAATATTAATAATGATAATGGTAAAAGTAACAATGATAGTACTACAACTAACAAATATAATAATGATAGTACTACTACTGATAAAT